CGAACTGGTCGTGGATTCTCGTCCGCCGTTGCAACAAACTTTGTGCGAATTTGTGCGAAGCTACAGTTTAAAAAAGTCTCTAAGAACCGCCGCATAAACCACGTAATCCCAGCGAGTCAGTTACACTAGAAACATAGGGAGTTTGATTGACGACCTAACAGCCAATAGAAAATGAGGTAGCCTTGTTTTCTATTGGCTGATGTTTATCTGGCCTCACCACGTCCACATTTGATAGATTTTCATTCTTTTTTTTTTTTTTTCATCATAATTACAAGGCTGCTGCATCTCTGTAATGTTATTTTAACCTATCATTGACAATCTGAAACAAAACAAAAATCCTCCATACAACCTTTAAGCTGTACCCATTTATATGTGTTAAACAGAAAAGCATTGAGTCCATTCAAATCAACAGATCAGTGTACACTTGGCTGTACGTGTGGGATTTTCATCACGGTGTCCTTACCTTTTCACTTCTTTCTGGACAAATGTTGTTGTGCCTGGAAATCAAAAGCTGAATTCAGAGGATTACTACTGTACATTATTACATCTTAACGGGGTTGGAGGAAAAGGGTGATCAGCACTATGCAAAATATTCTCAAATCATCAGAATATCTGCTTTGGTGCTGATGAGGCTCGCTGAGATTTAACGTTCCACGCTGCTCTGTGCATTCTAATCCCTGCGCTCGGATCTGTGAGGAAGGAGCGCCGCTGACCTCATACTAATGCAAAATCTATATTACTTCTCCACTTTCTTGGAAGAGCACTTTATTTGACCCACTGATAAAAGATACACAGTTTTCAACCATGAGGGAAAACAGAATGGACTCGTGGCCACGCCCAGTTAGGCCCTTCGTTCACTCTGAGCTTCAACCAGGGCTGAAAAACTAATTTAGGATAGAGCTGCTGTTGTTTCTACATGGTTTTTAATGATGTTTTTGATAGAATTAAATGCTGTTTCCTTACATTTCTCATCCACCAAAATGTCTTTTAACATTTGTTGGCAATATAATTCAGTCTCTTTTTTTTTTCTTTTTTTTTTTTTTGAAGTAGTCTATCAATCTATCTAGTACTAGTTTTACATAGAAGACTTAATTCTTGTCTGTCTAAACCAGGTCTAAACCAGGACTAAACCAGGACTAAATCATGTCTAAACCAGGTCTAAACCAGGACTAACAGGACTAAACCAGGACTAAACCAGGTCTAAATCATGTCTAAACCAGGTCTAAACCAGGTCTAAACCAGGTCTACTAAATCAGGAAACTAAATCATGTCTAAACCAGGTCTAAACCAGAAACCAGGGACTAAATCATGTCTAAATCAGGTCTAAACCAGGTGTCTAAACCAGGTCTAAACCAGGTCTAAACCAGGACTAAATCATGTCTAAACCAGGTCTAAACCAGGACTAAATCATGTCTAAACCAGGTCTAAACCAGGACTAAATCATGTCTAAACCAGGTCTAAACCAGGACTAAATCATGTCTAAACCAGGTCTAAACCAGGACTAAACCAGGTCTAAACCAGGACTAAACCAGGTCTAAACCAGGACTAAACAGGTCTAAACCAGGACTAAAAAAATCATGTCTAAACCAGGTCTAAACCAGGAAAACCAGTCTAAACCAGGACTAAACCAGGACTAAATCATGTCTAAACCAGGTCTAAACCAGGTCTAAACCAGGACTAAATCATGGTCTAAACCAGGTCTAAACAGGTCTAAACTAAACTAAATATATATCTAAACCAGGTATCTATCTATCTATCTATCTATCTATATATATATATATATATATATATATTATATATATATATATAATTTTTTATTTTATTTTTTTTAATAGAAGACTTAATCATTTAAATGTGGTTACTAGTTGGGATCAAGACAAAATGTAACTCCAAAATTGTGAGAAAAAAATCCCACCTACAATGTAGAAGTAGAATATATGACAAATCGAAAAAATAGATTTGGCTCCAAGTGTTTGTTTTAGAGCCATTAGAGCCTCACTCTGATTAAATGCTGTTTCTGGCTGTTGTTTCCGTACAGTTCTCATCCAGCAACATCTTGGCAATATCGTATAGATTATTTTTTATTGCAGTAGTAGTAGTATTATCTTATCTCTATGTCTTTAGTAGTAGTTTTTCATAGAAGAAGACTTAATTATTTGGCTTAGTGACTAAATGTTTGTTTTAAATCCATCAGAGCCTCTCAAGGTCTGATTAAATGCTGTTTCTGGCTGTTGTTTCCTTAAAGTTCTCATCCAACAAACATTTTTTTTTTTTTACATTTGTTGGCAATATCATTCAGTCTTTTTTTTTTTTTTTTTTTTTAAATAGCAGTAGTGGTAGTATAGTAGAAATAGTTTCCTTCGTAAGTAATTAATCAATAAAAATAATAATAATAATAAAATAAATAAATAAAGTAATCAGAGTAGCAATTACTTTTAGTAGTACTAGTAGCAGCAGTAGTAGTAGCTTTAGTGGTAGTATAGTAGTGGTAGAGGTATTATAGTAGCAGTAGCAGTAGTAGTAGTATTGTAGTAGTTGTAGTAGTAGTGTAGTTGTAGTAGTAGTAGTAGTAGTATTGTAGTAGTAGTAGTAGTAGTTGTAGTAGTAGTAGTAGTAGTAGTAGTAGTAGTAGTAGTAGTAGTAGTAGTAGTAGTAGTAGTAGTAGTAGTAGTAGTAGTAGTAGTAGTAGTAGTAGTAGTAGTAGTAGTAGTAGTAGTAGTAGTAGTAGTAGTAGTTAGTAGTGTAGTGTAGTAGTAGTAGTAGTAGTAGTAGTAGTAGTAGTAGTAGTAGTGTAGTTGAAGTAGTAGTAGTAGTATTGTAGTTGTAGTAGTATTGTAGTAGTAGCAGTAGCAGTAGCAGTAGTAGTAGTAATAGTAGTAGTAGTAGTAGTTTCCTTAGTAAGTAAATACTTGAATAATCAATAATAAAAAAATAAAAATAAAGTAATCAGAGTATTGCTTATATATATATATATATATATATATATATATAGCTTTTAGAGTATCAGTAGTACTAATAGCAGTATTAGTAGCAGTAGTAGTAGTAGTGGTAGTAATAGTAGTGGTGATAGTAGTGCTACTAGCAGTAGTAGCAGTAGTAGTGATGGTAGTAGTAGTAGTATAGTGGTAGCAGCAATAGCAGTAGTAGTAGCAGTAGTAGTAGTCGCAGCAGCAGTAGTAGTACGTAGTTAGTAAGTAAGTACTTCATCAATAATAAAAAATCAAAAATAAAGTAATCAGACTAGAACTTGTTTTTAAAGTAGTAGTAGTACTTGTAGCAGTAGTAGTAGCAGCAGCAGCAGCAGCAGTAATAGTATAGTAGTAATAGTAGTAGTAGTATAATTTCCTCTTTTTGGAATAAATGTACAGTATCTAGAAGTAATTTGTCATAGAATAAGACTTGATCATTTGAAGGCGATATTTATTTAACACTTTATCAAAACGCAAGTCCCAAACTGTGAAAAAAAAATCCACCAAAAATATAGAAGTAGAACACATGACAGATGGAGAAATAAGTTTGTCTTAAAGTGTTTGTTTTAAAGCCATCGGGATCTCACAATTAGCTCAATGCACAAACACTCCTTACGCTAATCAAGACAATAAGAGCTGTTGAGGAAAATAGATTTTGACAAGTGGACTTTTCAGGCCGGCACACAGCTCTCAATTAAACCATGTCTCAAAAACAGATTGTGAAATGCAAAACAACAATGCTTTTTCTCACAGGACTCGACTCGTTTGGAAGTCGTCTTAATTGCAATTTTTCTGACAAACAATGTGGGAATTTGCAATGTATTTTTCCAATCAAGATTCAGTTCGCGGTGCACATTTTAAACTCTGTGGGAGAATACGGAGAAATTATGTGCTCAGTTAATACAAGAATATGCATTTCAGAACACGGGAGACAGAATATTTGGTTTTCAGATTTGGACATTAAAGGTGCATTGTGTAATTTTTCTGGGCAAGGGTCTATCATCGTTTTACTGTTAATTAGAATTATTGTTTTTTAAAGTGTTTTTGAGCAATAAAACACCTGTAATTGAACAAACAAGAGAGATAATGTATGTTTATTCCTCTACTGTGGAATATTTGTCACCTGATAAGTTACATAGTGAACTTTTAAGACTAAACCAGGACTAAATCAGGATTAAACCAGGTTAAAACCATATCTGAAACAGGACTAAAAGAGGAACAAACCAGGTCTAAACCAGGTCTAAACCAGGACTAAACCAGGACTAAACTAAGTCTAAACTAAGTCTAAAACCAGGTCTAAACCAGGACTGAAACCAGGACTGAACCAGGACTGAAACTGAAACCAGGACTGAACCAGGAAACCAGGTCTAAAACCAGGTCTAAACCAGGACTGAACCAGGTCTAAATCAAGGTCTAAACCAGGTCTAAACCATCTACTAAACAAAGTCTAAACTAAGTCTAAACCAGGTCTAAATCAGGACTGAACCGGGACTGAACCAGGAATAAACCAGGACTTAAACACGACTGAACCAGGACTGAACAAGGACTGAACCAGGAGTAAACCAGGTCTAATCTAGGACTAAACTAGGACTAAACCAGGGCTAAACTAGGACTAAACCAGGACTGAATTAGGACTAAACCAGGTTTAAACCAGGACTGGTCCTGGTCACCCAACACTTTCAGTCCTGGCTCAGTCCTGGTCCCTCATGTCTCAGGTCACTATAGGACAGTACTGCAGATATGATGAGCCTGTGCAGGTTGTTTCCACCATTGTCAATAGCTCCGGTTTGACATTTAAGTTTTAGCTATTTTATATTTGTTTTTTGTTTTTTTCTCACATTGGGAGAAGTGGTTGGGTGGTGTACCCCGACGTACCACACCCACCTACACCCCTGGGCTGCACATACTAGTACCTGGTTGTCCTGATCTTGGCTTTGTGGGTTCACGTACTAGTCTCGACCATATGTCACCCCATTTCTCGCTACAATTGTCATGTCCAAATCTGATCGGTCTCTGTCTTGTTTCTTGTAGGTGGACCTCCAGCAGAACCCCTGGGAGTGCGACTGCGGGGCCACCTCCCTGAAGCGATGGCTGGAGGGACTGAGCGCCGTGGTGGTGGTGGGCGAGGTGGTCTGCCATTCCCCGGAGAAGACCAAGGGCGTGGACCTCCGCTCGGTCTCCATGGAGCTCCTCTGCCCCGAGATGGAGGAACTGGAGGAGCAGGAAGACCAGACCCAGCAGGAGGAGGGAGAACCGCCCACATCCACCACCCCGGAAAGAGGAATCTCCGTGGATTACTCGAGCGAAGTCCCTGGTCCGGTCAGCCCTTCGACGAAAGACTCCATCCCGCTATCCGTGCTCGTGCTAAGTCTTCTGGTTCTTTTCGTTTCGGCGTTCTTCGCGGCGGCCGCTCTCATGGCCTACGCGCTGAGACGTAGAGACAAGCTTCCTTTCCGTCGTCAAGGTGAAGTCGATCTCGCCGGTATACAAATGGAATGCGGGATTTTCACCGAACAGTCCCATCATCACCACCACCACCACGGAATACCGGAAACTCCCCCGCTACCCGCCGCCGAACACAGCCACGTTTATGACACCATCTTACCCCCGGAAGCTTCCGCGCACATCTACAAGGAGGACCAGGACCCCGCGGTGAAGCAGAGAGCGCTGCCGCAAGAGGGCGCCGGCGAGTCCGAGGGAGCGTACCGTTCCGCTTCCGAAAAAGACAAGGAATGGTCGGTGGAGGCCGCGTCAGCCCCGATCAGCACCGTGACCGGCGCGGTGGGACCCCTCGCCGGTCTCCACGGAAACGGCATCCTCTGTCCGACCGTGATCGACAGCCAAGGCCCCACCCCGAAAGTGGAGCTGGTTGACTGCTTGTTCAGAATCCCCAACCCGGGCGGCTACGCGAGGCCACCCCCGCGATACCCGCACCACCCGGACTCAACCGCGCAGGACGCCAGGGGCGAGCCAGCGCTGGTGGTGACGACTAGCAGCTCCACAGGGGGCAGTAGCGAGCACGTGGCGAGGCTGCGGACCAAGCCGGATTATATGGAAGTACTGGATCGCTCCTACCAGTTTTAACGCGTCGATTTTGAGTTCGCGGTTGGAAAAAAAACGGATTAAGGAGGTTGTTTGCAATCCCACCTCTGGCGTAGAATCGATCTTCCGGGACTTGGACAATCGCGCACAGAATCAAAAGTGCGCAGGATTGTCGGGAATATACAACACTCAAAAAGGAACATAGCCAAGTGCCTTATAGCAACGAGCAGCCAGCAGTGTGGTCAATGCTTATTTTTCTACGAAATACAGATCTATTTATGTAAACAGAGGTTTGACTACGGAGAGGACGGGATGCCGGTGGGGAATCCGAGACGGAAAACAATCAAAGCAAGCAGAATAATTGCGTTCCCTGGATGAGCCAAAAATAAGAATACCCCAGTCAATATTGGACCTCTTTGTATGCACATCACTTTATTTCATCTCATACTGTTAGCTTGAGTTGAGGTTTGAATTTGTTACCGGGATAGAGTTAGATAAGGGACCTTTTCAGACCACACAAGAATTATCGGTTGTTGTGAATATTTCCATTTTATTTGTTTGATAAGAACTTTTTTTCCCCCAGAAACACGAGCGGGAGGAGATACAGAGAGACTTCATGACAATGGATGCCTTTTGGATTTTTTTAATCAGCCAGACTTAACGGGGCCATCTCGACCCCACAATCCATCTTTTCTTTGTGGACAATGACACCCAGGTTATTGTATTGATTTTGAGGTATTTCTCGGAGGGGGAAATAGAAGGCAAAAAAAGAAAAAAGAAAAAAAAAAAAAAAAAGGACAAACCCAGAACGGATAAAGGCTTTTACTTCTGAAAAAAGACACTTCTATCAACTATTATCTTTTATGGAGGTACCTTTTTATGCGTTCATCTCCTACCAATAGTAGAAGCAGTTGTGAATATATTTATTCATAGTTTTTTGCGTGTTGAAGCTCTCCTCTTATGGGATCATGTTATAATGTATAGGATGATTCTGCATCTGGTTCAGCCTTCTTACCGCCAACCCACGAAATACAATAAAGGGTGCTATGTAAAAAGTTTGCAATCCTTTCTTTACAAGTATTTGACAGTAATTACGTTATAAACAGAGGTAAGAGTAACGTTCCTTCAAAATAAATGGTGTACGGTCACATTTTTATACAGCGCTTTTCCACCTCAAAGCGACCTCACCCATTCACACACACACAGACACTAAGGTTGAGGTAGGTTAAGTGTCTTGCCCAAGGACACAGCAACATCATTCATCTGTGGGAACTGGAATCACACCAGCCAACCTGTATGTGGGTCATTGGATTTGACTGGTTGAGCAGGATTCGAACCGCCAACCTTCGGATCAGTGGCTCTACGCACTTCCGTCTGAGCTTCTTTCGGTTCTTTTAAACAAGATAAAAAGTTTGGCATCCTTTTGTTTACAAGTTTTTATTTTGTATTTGATAGTAGAGTCATTCCACCTCAGTTCACCCCAAATAATTGCAATTTGAATGCTCACATTGTCCAGTTGCAAAGAAAATTGGATTATGCGCAAGTCATGGCCAAGAAAGCCAAAATCTCGAATTTTTTAGCATGATCAGAGTAACGGTTTTCATGACCTAAAGCAGGGCTGTCAAACTCAAATAAATATTGAGATATCGCAATTTCATTTTTACAATTTTTTGCATGATTTTCAAATTGCATTTACTCAGCAACTACTGGTCCGATATCAAAAACCAAGGTGTCTCTTTTGCATTGGAGTACTTTTGAGATGAATTACCTTTTGACCTATATTTTGACCTTAAAACTGACAATAAGGGACTCGCCCAACATCAATGACAACAATAGAAAAAATGGGTTTTCTTTTTTATTTTTGTACAAATTTACCTACAAGTTGACTTACCCACATCTTAAAGGTTGTATAGAGGATTTTCCAAGGAACGAGAAATCCAGCGACTGTTTGTCCTTTTTCAAATGTTGCGCATGTGTGAAACCACCCCCCTCCCCTACAGCTCCTACGTAGAAACGCCTTCTCCCGCCTCCTCTTTACGCCAGAAACAGGTTTGTTTACAGCCGGTGCTGCACATGACTTGTAAACAACTAACTACAGTGTTGGTTAGGCAAGACGGAGAAGTGAGGAGCGGGGGGAGCGGGTGTGCGGACATTTCGTTCGCGGACGAGAAGTGAGGAGCAGGAGAAGAGCGGAGCAGGGAGAGAGGAGAGGGAGGGAGAGGAGGAGAGAGGAGAGGAGAGAGAGGAGGAGAGGGGAGGAGAGAGGGGAGAGGGGAGCGGTGCGCGGAGATTCCGTGCCCGAGAAATGAGGAGCAGGGAGGAAGAGCGGATCGGGCAGCGGGGACAGGAGCAGGAAAGGGGTGCAGAGAAGGTTGCGCGGAGATTCAGTGCGAATGAACTAGCTACAACACGCAGCAGCAAGCGGACTCTTTCTTTGCCTTGAAAATTACGTTTTCAGACATAGGATATCGCTTTCGTGTCCTGAAAAACGTTTGTCCAGCTCTTGGAAATAAAGTACGTTTTCATAATAAGCAGAAGTTTCCTGTCCAGGAGTAAGTAATTGCGACCAGTGCGTCAGTCTTCTAACTAAGAATCACCTTAGTTTGGCTTCGCTGCTTTTCCCCTTGTCTTCTTCTTTCAGCGACCTCAAAAACGACTTTCTTTTGCGGCTAACTGCTCCTGGATTCTTGTCGCCATTGCAACAAACTTTGTGCGAACTGCGAGGAAGAAATAGGTCAAAAAAAGCCGCTAAGAACTGTTGCAGCCTGTCAGCTCACAGATAACGAGGCAGTGTCAGTTATCTATTGGCAAATGTTTAGCCCCACCACGTCCAGAGTTGATGAATTTTTATTCTCTTTTTTTTGGTCATCATAATTACAAGGCTACTGCACCTCTATAATGCTATCATTGACAATTTGAAACAAAAAAAAAATCCTCCATACAACCTTTAAGTAAATGCAATTTGAAATTTAGCGACCACGCAAAAATGTGCAATAATAAAATTGCGATGTCTCGGAAACCGTTGGTCCTATCAAGCTAAAATTTTAAATTTTGAATTTTCTGTTTATGATTTACCATTTATTTATACCAAGAGTCATAAAAAATTGACAAAGAAGGGTTTAAGTCATTGGGTGAACTGAGGTGGACTGACCCATTAGTTACATTATAAACAGAAGTAAGAGTAAAAGTATAAAGTACTGGTTCAAGAGTAAAAAAGTATTTGAGAAAACTACCACTTAAGAGTAAGTTAAAGTTGCACTATGTAAACTTTTGGTCAAAGGCCTCCCTGCTTGTTTCCATGGAAATGTTATTGCTTTGCTAGGAATGTTTCACAGTATAGCATTAAATCTATAAATGTAAATCAAATCAAAGCCAAGTTACAGGTCTGATCTGTGGAAAGGCGAGCCTGCTAAGAGTAAGACTGCTTGTGTTCTCGGCATATGTTTTTACCTGTAATTAAATTCATGCCAGATTGATTTGTTTAATGCTAAAGCAGAAACCTCTCCATGGAGACACAAGCAGATGGCACACTGTCCACAAAAAGAAATGTTACATAGTGCAGCTTTAAAGAACTGTCCGGATGTAACATCTGATTTATAATTTGAAATGAATGTAGTATCAAATAATGCACAAAATCTAGTATTTTTTAAAGAATAGACACAAAAATGAGACAAACAAGAACTCAAATGTTCAAATCATTTTATATTGTCAACGTGAATCTTTTGGTTAGACTTACTCACAGTGGAAGAGTAACCAAAACTATTCTCAAAGAAGACTACTTATATTTAAATTTACTTTCAGTTTACTTCAATAAAAGTATTACTTAAAGGTGCATTGTGTAACTTTTCTGGTGGAGGGTCCGTCAAATGCTTTTCTCCACAAAGAGTTATTGCTTTTTGTCTTTATAGTGACCAAACCAGAACAAGTTACAGCTCAGATCTGTGGAGAGGCAATTTAACTATAAAACCACCTGTAATTGAATAAAAGTAAGGTAGAGCTGTTTAATGTCATACTGTGGAACATTCCAGGCGGAGCACTGACATATCCACAGAAACAAGCAGTCCAGCAGAGTAAAAATATGCTCTGAAAAGTACAGTTCCTTTAAAACATTATCCACGTGAATGTACTAAGCCACCTCCGGTTATAAACAAACATTTAAATATGAAAATTTAATTTGTTATTCGCTTCCGAGGAGTAAATTAAGCCGTGTGTGCATTGCGGTGTTGAGAAAATTAACATTGTTTCTGCTTGTTTGCCTTTCCAAAAAAAAAAAAAAAAAGAGAAGACAGAAGCTTCATAAATTTTAAACATTTCGACATTTTGGGCAAGTCACTCTTTCAAGTCACCAGTGCTGGCAGTGATTAGACCGTGCAAGCCGTGGTTTTAATCCTCCCCAGGCACGAGCTGAGAGACAGGGGAGGGAGAGGGGCTGCTGATAGGAGCCTGGCACACGCAAAAGGCCTAGAATTTATGTCGGGAGAGAGAAAACAGCACTAGCATTTCACCGTCGTCTTGGCATATGCCGGTGTGACAAGAATGAAAAGTTTTGTTTTTCGAGAAAGGTTTTGGCAGCTAAAGAGACAGCAAAAAAAAAACAAAAAAAAAAAAAAACATGGCGGGCGCACTGTTCTTGGTGGCGTGGAATTTCAAGTACATGCAAAAAAAGTTGACAATAGGATGAATCGACGTACAAGTGTAGATCTTTCCGAGCTTTACAAAATAAAGTTGTCAAAAGTATCGAAAAGCAGATACTGATCGATACTGAAACAAAAAAAAAAGTCACATTTACAGGACAATGGCAGTTTAATGTAAAGAGCACACAGACTATTATAAACGCATGAACCACTATGGAGCCTACCTGGATGACTCAGAGATTACAAGATATGGAATGCAGCTTTAATGTTATTTTTATCCGTCTTGCCCAAGAACACAACAACGATATGCAATCCTGTTAACTGGGACTGTCTTTGTGGATTAGTAACAGTCCTAGAAGTAATAAGTATCGTATTTTTCGGACTATAAGTCGCACCAGCCCAAAAATG